AATCCATGAAGAACAAAATGGTTATTGCATTTCATTCTTTTTGGAATCTATCAAAATTTGAGATTCATTTTTTTTCTTACTACAATCGAGGCATTGCTTCAAAATAATTTATTACAGAATAATTACGTGCAAAACTAGGAACGTTGTCGAACCAATTCTAAGAAGGAAGAGAGGGTATGGTAGAACAAGCGTACAATGGTTTTCATTCCTAGGATGCTTCTTGGAAAACAAAGACGACTTACTATGAAGAAAGCTAGAGAATGGTTGGCGAGTCAGGCTCAGTTCTTAACTATTTTATGGTTTTTCCCTGGTTATCTGTTCTTGCCGCCAAAGTTGAGGCCAAGCTTCTTATAATGCTTCATTTTGGCTCCTTTTCAGAGTGCTCTTGTTCAACTACAGGTGTCTTTGGTTTCAGCTTCATAGATTTCAGGTCCTCCTAAAGAGAGAGTAATAATGTTTCCGCTGCTTTGTACAGTGTACACCCAAGGCTACTTTAGAATTCACATCATATCAATGCTTTGATATTTGCCTTAATTGCCTAAGAAGCAGCAGCAAAACAGGCACATTTAGTTGCATGTTGAGAATATAATCTACATTAAGAAAGCATTTGTGCATAATTAATGTGATAAGGATACTTACAATGGCAAACGAATAGCAGTTCAGAAAGCTCAGCAGCCAGCAGGTGGGATACCGTCTAAGGCATTCAAGAATCCCTTCCCTTCAGAACCTATAAAACCAAGCTGCTATTCTTGTCAGACAGTGATCTTCCTTCAATGCAAAACCAAATTACTAAATATAGATGATGATGCAGCAATAAGACTTACGATGTCAGATCCTCAAGAAAGATGGGTATCTGCTTAACAACTGTTATCAGCTTTGCAGGCTCACATGGTTAATGCCACAAATTACCTGATATTAATAGCTATTTATCTGCATCATCTGATTAGTTTTTTACAGAAACATTAAGTTAGGATTTATGAGCAAGTTGCAAAAAAATCAACGGTTCAAAATGAAGATAACATGCAATTTACTGATAAATTCAGCTTTCTATTGACA